CACCCGCGATGGCGGCCCTCTCCCGGCCCCGTCCGGGCTGGCTGGGCGCTCCTGGGAGGCTCTGGCGGGACCAGGACCAGAACCCCTTCAGTCCTCCTCCCTTTCCTGAACGAGCGAACACCGGGCTAGGTCAGGGGCCAATAAAGCCTTGCGGAATCTGACTTGAGGGGCAGTGGGAACATTTTCAGCCTTCATCTGGGCGTGGGGGGGCAGACCCGGACTGAGGAGCACGTGGCCTGCCTTGCTTTTTTATAGTTAATATTTGAGCCCGGGAGTGAGAAGGATGGCGGAAGGACTCGGGCACACCCCGCTCTGTCTGTCCCGAGTAGGCTGGTTCAGGCCCTGGGGCTGTCTCCACCCCCGCCGCGCACCCTGCTGCCCCCGGGACCCAGGTCCTGTCATTGCCCTGCTCTTTGCTTCCCTTCTCTGAGCCTCAGGTTCCTCGTGAACGTGGGCACGGTTGCCCTCTCTTTACGGCTCCAGGATGTTCGAGTGAAGCCAGGAAAAGGAACATTTTCGAAGTGCTTGAACATAAGTCACCCACTTCCTCGGCGATCTTTCATACTTGTGTGGGGGTCAGTGAAGGTTGCCGGCCTGGGCCTCAGCATTCTGACAGGACCGTTTGAGGCAGCGGCTCTTCCCAATGCGCCTGCCAACATAGGCATCACAGGCCTGACCGTGATAGGATCATGGAGCCCAGGGATGGGGAGGTGACCCTCGCTGTTCTTAAGTCTGTACCCCTGACACCCCTTCTGCCATACAAGCCGCTCCTGGCCTCTCCAGAAGAGAGCACTTCTCAGCCTTACAGCCACACAGGACTTGCAGAATGGGCAAGTGGGGAGTGGCCGGGGGCCAGGAGGCTTTGAGCCCTGACCCAGAGACAGCAGACCATCACTGAACAGTACTGCCATGACCAGCCAGACCCTGGCCCTCGTGGTGCATCCATTCCAGAAAGTGTGTAGATGAAACTATGCAATGGTTACCCACTGCATTCCAGAGCTAGATGGCCCAGGTTCTAATCCTGCCTCAGCCACATACCTGCTGGGTAAACAAGTGGGCTTAAACTTGCTGGGCCCTAAGTGTCCAGATCTGTACAAGGAGGAGGATAATATCTACCTCCTAAAATGGGGCAAGGGCCTGACCTGATGGTGCATGGGTATAACTCCAGCAGTCGGGGAGGCTGAGGCAGGAAGATCACTTCGAGTTCGAGGCCAGCCTAAAGCATACAATGAGACCCTCTTAACCTTCCCTCAAATGGTAGAGAGGTCTTTGCAATACCCAGATCTGCCATATCTGACCCTCACTGGGCCAGCCACCTGACCTTCGCATTATTTTATTATTACCAGGGGTCAAACTCAGGACCTTGCACTTGCAAGGCAGGCAGTGGCACCCTGAACTGAATTCCCAGCCCTCACCCCATTATTCTTTCCAGGCGTAACCCCTTCTCTGCAGAGTGAGCACCCAATTTGAAGACCTACCCTTTCCCTCATGCGGGTGGGGTTGAGGGCTGCCTTAGGTACTCCCATGTCTCCTCGCCCAGCCCTGATCAGCCAGGCTGGGCAAACCTGGGGACAACTGCATCCCCAGCACCGGCTGGCACGTGGAGCCCACTGAGTGGAGATGCTTTGTGAGACCATGCTGGTGACCCAGAGATGAGGCGGATCTCTGCTCCTTTGTTCCCAGGATCTACACCAGTAAGGTGGGATCTGACTCTCCTCTGGGTACCCACAGGGCCTCCTTCATAGGGCAAGCACCTAGCACCAACCAGGGGCAGAGCTGTAGACTGGAAGAGTCCTCCTAAGTGGGGAGTGCAGAGGACGCTTGTGCATTAGAGCAGCGCGTAATACACAGCGTTTGGGGCTGGTTCTTGACTCAAGCCAGCAAGTGGAAAACCTGTCCCCTCCGCCAGGAAGCTCTCCCAGGCCTCCCGCCCTCTCCAACAGAGTGCCCACACACCACAGGAGGCCACAGCAGCTGCCTGGGATGATTTAAGATTTAGTAGTGCAAGAAGAGCGCACGGACTGATTTCCCATCCAGAGTCTAAAGAAGCAGAGACCGCAGGTCTCACGGGACTACAAATCCCAGTGCAGACCCTCGTTTCCCAGCAGTCACTGGGGGTGTCTTGCAGGTCCTTTAGCGGACCCTGCCACCTCCGTACACGTGGGTCTCGACTACATTTCCCAGCGAGCTAATGATCACGCCCCTGGCAATAAGATCACAGCTCGGTGCTCAATCAGGGCCTAGACTCTGCCTCCCCACCCACTGGCCATCTCTAGGTACTTTGGGAAATGTAGTCCAGAATATCGTCCAAGCGTAGGAAAACTAGGCTGTAGAGCGTCATTGTTTTAGGGTCTCTCTAGAGTCCTTTCAAGAAGAATTTTTCAAAGCTCAAGCCCAAGTGGCCAGGGATTTAGCTCAGTGGTTCCACCTCCTGTCTTGCAAGTGCAAGGACCCGAGTTTGATCCCCGGTACCAAAACACAAAAGATAAAGCACAAGTGATTTCCAAGGGCAGATGATAACTTTTTTTTTTTTTTTCCAGTACCAGAATCAAAATCAGGACCTTGTGTTTGCCAGGCAGGTGTGGTGCCGCTGAGTTACATCCCCAGCCTTCATAACTATTTTTTTAAAAAGAGAATTCAATAAAATATCAATATGCATAAAAGATGGCACGGAACATTTCTCCAAATGTAGATACTTACGTATGAACTGAATTGAAACGTAAAATATAAGTTCTTCATTTGACTGGAAAATATTTGCTAGTCACAGGTTCACACCAACTTAGTTTCTTAAAGAACAAAAAACAAAGACAAACTATTTATTTGGAAATAATTTCAAATTTACAGACAACCTGCTCACATATAAATAAATACTTTTTTGTTGTTGTTTTGTTTTTTGAGACAAGGTCTAGCTATGTAGCCCAGGCTGGCCTTGAACACACAGCGATCCTCCAGTCTCAGCCTCCTTAGTGCTGGGATTGCAGGTGTGTGCCACTAGGCCCAGCCATAAATACTGTTTTTTTGTTTGTTTGTTTGTTTGTTTTTTGAGACAGGGTCTCACTGTATAGTTGAGACTGACCTGGAACTCACTATGTAGACCAGGCTGGTCTTGAACTCACAGCGATCCTCCTGCCTCAGCCTCCTGTGTGCTGGGATTACAGGCGTGCACCACCATGCCCAGCTGGGCAAGATATAAATGAAATGATGTTTTGATAAGTTCAAAGCAAAGCAGGGAGGGATATAAGTGAATCAACATCAGATCTGAACTGCAAAATGGACCCAGGGTCTTGTTCCACTGGACACTAGATATCGGTGTGACTCATTGTATCTAGAAACTCTCAGTACTAGGGACTAAACCCAACACCGCCCCCCAGCTCTTTTTATTATTATTATTTTTAAATTCTGAGACAGGGTCTTGTTAAATTGCCCAGACCAGACTCAAACTTGTATCCTCCTGCCTCAGCCTCCTCAGTCAGTGGGATTACAGATGTGTGCCATTGAGCCTGGATCAGGAACTCTTTATTTGAAACTATACAGTGGCTGGAAATAGACGTTCTTTGTCGGTGTCCAAGGGGCTGCAATCTTCCGGGCAAGAAGCAGTAAGCTTGCTTTTCCACGGTCTTCCTTATGGGAACACCCCACCCGCTTGCACCTGGGATCGAACCCGGGTCTTGGCCCCAAACTATATCCCCAACACTTTTATAATCCATTTCTTCTTTAAT